TGACCAAGTTACGAAAACAAGGTCTAACAACTTCTATATAATCGCCTATATCACTTGGTTTTCGTTTATAGGCAGATTTTCGAGACTATCAGTAAATAAATTATACAAAGATATAAATAAAAACTAGGTTTCGAAGAATTCCTCAATGAAATGTTGTGGCATGCCTCTCCATTTCGAAGGGAAAGTTGGTTGGAACAAATTCGTGATGTGGTCTCACCGGAACTGGAAGGAGGATTGCTGCGTAGGGAAGACTGTTGAATTGTGCGACGAAGTCCTCGGCTCACCCTCCTGCGACCCCAATGAAACTGTGCTAAGCTTTCGTCTGTACTTTCTTGAAAGCCTTGAATAAAGGCGAAAAATAAGTGATAGTGAATTTTCCCACAATCAACTGAGTTTACCTTAAAGTGCAGTTGAATGTCACTTAGCTTTGCTTACCAAAGAGTATTCTTATCCAGACTGAAAAGGGCTGCACTTTTGACCTCGCCTCTATCTCATCAGCAATCATAACCAGAAGTTAAGTCGAGTTTTGGCAGTGAGACATGTAATTTCAACTTGTCTCATCCCTTTAAGAAGTAAGGCTAGGTTAAGAAATTGTTTGATCTTGTCTTTGCAACCTGGTTATATTGGCAGGAAAACCAAGAGGAATACAACGGTAAAATGTCTGGGAATATACCTAGTCCTCGATCCGTCTCTGAAAATTAGCATGCATACTTGAACTCCGGACAAGGTGTGTTCCTCTGGGTCTTTCTTTCAATCTGACCAAGTAGTAAAAGCATGGTCAAATAACTTCTATATAACAGAAGGAGACCAAGACCATATTAAGGTCACACCATTTTGGCATTCATACCTTTGAAGACTAGGTTAACTTCTATGTCATCGTGAGGTCTGCTCATCTAATTGTAGGAAAATCTTCTATCAGTCCTTTATCACCCAAACGGCCTAGGCGGACTAGGTCTCTTGTTGTATATAGTCTTTCCTTTTCTTGTTGCCTCCTCCATTCTTGCTCTTCAAGGCATCCTGATACTGGTAGGCCTGGTTCTGTATGTCGGCAGCATCAGCCAGACCTTTGATTCGAAAATGACGGTTCTCGACACTGAGACACGCTATTGGTATACTTACGGAAATGCTTTTTACCTCTGCGTGATCGCTTTCATCCTGTCTGAGTTCGCCGGCATTTTTGCGGTCTACCTCTTTTTGGCGCGACTGCGGCACCATTCACGTCTCAAGCAGACGAGTTCACTTTGCACGAACGCCGTCTCCAACGTCGGCGTTCGAGGCTACCTGGGCAGAGTGACACCGGCAGGGGTCGAATCCGCATCGATGATCTCCTCAAAGCCGTTGGTGACCAAGCTTTCATGGCTCACGAGCAACCTGCACCAGCCGACAAGCATCCATTTCGACTGGTTTGACCGGCCTCTGCTCGACGACTTCTGTGCTTCCGGCGTCCCGACTCGCCAATACGAGTTGGCTGGCCGGCCACAAAACCTCGACCCAGAAATCGCCGACTCCGACAGTCGATTTGAGGCCCTCTCGGCGCCCGGAGACCGAATAAAGGTAGTCTCGCCCGGGCTTCGGCCGGAACATGTAGCCTGGCCGACCGGGAGCCCTGCCTTCCGGTTAGCGGGTCTCTCGCGCTTTGGTACCGCCACCTCCATGCAGACCCTAGGCGCCGGTGCTATGGCCACCAATCCGGCCTCGGTCAACACCTCCACCACCTCGGCGGCCACGGTTACCGGCCAGATTGCCGAAAGTCTTATCCTGCTCGGCAACTCGGTCATTGGTACCGAGCGCCAGATCCGTGGCTCGGCTCACGAATGGCCCCCAGCCGGCCCATTTGGTGATACCAGAGCTCGCCAGAGTTTATCTTCGTCAGGTGGAGGAGGCTGCTGTCTGAGCGGGTTCGGCGAGTCCTCGAGTAATGAGGCGGCCGGCCGGACCTTGGTGGGACATCGGCGTTCACAGGCGCGGATTGAATCTCCTCCTCCTCCTCCTCCTCCTCCTTTCTCCCCTCTTCCTCCTCCTCCTTCTCCCTCACCACCCATAGCCCCATCATCACCACCACCCCCGTCTCTTACGCCACCGGCGCTGCAAGTCTTGCCGATGGGCGACGAGTTTTCTGCTTCGGGACTCGAGCGCGAGGACTGGCACTGGCGCTCGAGCTCGGGCTCGAATCGCCGCCGGTCGGGCGCCAATGGTCACTCCAAATCGGTACCACAGTTCTTCTCTCCCCTCGAGCCGGCCTCCGACCCTCGGCGACTGGCACGCCGTCTCTTGCTTAGCTCCGATTCCATTGCCCAGCAGCGCCGGCCCGGCCAGACTCGGGCCAACTGGGAGGCGCGTCTTCATAGACGTCGTATCAAGATGCAGAGCAACATTCACCGAGACAAGCGGTTCACCACCGGCCCCGGCTACGAGGCCCAACAGCAGCTGATGGCGCTGGTAGACGAGGGTGTCCAGAGCGCCGGGAGCCTGCACCGCCAGGTCTCGAGTCGGCCGGCCTCGGAGCTAGCCAACTGCGGCTTGCAGCGATACAATTCGACAGAATGTCTGGAGGCCGTACACACCCTCAACCAGATGCAAAAAGGACCAGAGGCGAGGGCCGACCAGCCTTATTCGGTCCACAAGAGACCGGCCAGTCGAACGGGCGCAGCATCTCCGGCGACCGGCCGTCAAGACTACACGAGGGGGGCTAGACTGCTCGAGTTGGAGATGTCCGGATTGGACTCTGATCAACTGGACGGCGAAAACATCCCATTCCTTGGCGAAAATGGAATGGATCGTGAAGAAGAGGATGAGGACGATGATGACGAGGACGAGGACGAGGAGGAAGAAGAAGAAATAGAAGAAGAGGAGGAAGATGAAGAAGAAGAGGATGAAGAGGATGAAGAAGAAGAGGAAGACGGAGATGAAGAGGAAGAAGAGGATGAAGAGGATGAAGAGGAGGAGGAAGAAGAAGAAGGGGAGGTGGAGGAAGAGGAAGAGGAGGAGGAGGAGGAGGAAGAGGAGGATGAGATGGTTGTAGAAGAGGATGAGTTGAGTAAAGAGTTTGGCCACTTGAGAGGTAGGCATATTCAGAGGGACGTCGAAGAAGAGTACAAAGTAAAGGCGCGAGAAGAAGCGGATGACGATCCGGATGAGGGAGAGGAGGAGAGTCCATTTGAGGACAACAACGAAAGCCGATCCTTCGAGCTGATCTCGCCAACTGGTGCCAGTTGGTCGTCTGGCGGGCCAACCTACGCCCCGAGTGTACCTGCGACGCAAAAGTACACAGTTCTCAAAGGCACCAACGGTCCAGGCCGACAAAGTTGTCCGTCACGGTATCCTGTCACAGTGAGTCGACAAAATGCCTTGGTCGCAGCGGTCGGCTCCGGGGAATTTCAGACGCCAGCTACGGGCACTCGTAGGAAGGAGGAGCGAGTCGCGGAACTGCGACCCATCTTCACGAGTCCCGGTCCGGCCCGCTGTAGCTGCCGGTCTGGCCTGCAACCGAGTCTGGCATGTGAGACCGGTCGAGACGTCACTTCGCCTGGCGATGATCTTGACCTTCACGACGAACTCGTCTGGCCGTCTGGGAAACGAAGGCCCGAGTTATGCGTGGTCAGAAGCCCCACGAGTCCGCATCGCCCAGGCTCTCTAGGGCTCCGGGTCTCGGAGGGGGCCTCGAGGCCAGGCCGAGCAGGCAAGCGACGACGAGGGATCGAGGAGAAGGACAGCCCCAGGTTACAGGCGAGAGGCAGACGAAAATCACAAAAGATCACTTCCGTCTAGGCGCTCGCCTCCACACTTCGGCTCCACCCGAAACGGTGGCTTGATCACAGGGGCCCGATGACAACTAACGTTTAGGCCTTTTTAGATGGTCGGACCAATGTGTGGGCCTTTTATTCCCAACGCTGCAACTATCTCTTTCAATGGGATACCTCCTCAGGACAGGTTTCGTCGGACACCATTCATGGAACTTTTTAAACGACCACCACCCTTTATGCACCCTAGCAACCACCATATGCTGCCAAGTCAAGGCCAGGAGCAGATAACCAGTAAAACAATTTTATATTAACCTTTATCTACCTGATTTAGACCCACATTCTTACTTCTATAGCCCTCTTTTACTGTCTACCAACAGTCGAAACAGTATGAAAGTCAGCGATGTCCTTTCTTATCTTGGATAAGACTAACATTTGCCTGAATAAATACGTGTTTTCTCGGCTGCCGCGGTTTATGATCACGCCAGACAACACAATATTTAGCTATGAAATACTATTCTTGGCAGTGCAGCGATTTGTGCCTGGATTTTTTTCTTTTCATCTGCTTACTGTATCAAGGCTGGCACCTAGCTTTGTTAGTAAGACTGAATTTTGTTTAACATAGAATAAACCTATTTTTATTAAACCATCTACTTTTCCTTCACCCCCGAATACCAGCCTTTTTGCCTCAGCATACTTTGTGGCCCATGAAGGTGTATAGAAGAGGCTTTTTGAAGTGACTTGACGTAAAGGTGATTTTGAAGGCGTTCTGAAGGCATCGTCCTCCATTTTTAAGTAGGTTTTTGAGATTACCAGTAAATCGGATATATGAAATGCATTTACTCTATTACGTTTAAGATGATAAGGGGACTTGTAGTTACATTTTTCCACAATTATATGAGTTGACATGACATTTTCATTCAATATAACATAGCCTTAATTTCAAAAGGGTATTCTCATCCAGGCAGAAAGGATGGCAGTTTCGACCTGGCCTTAGTCTTATCAACACCCTCAGCGGGACTCCAACCACGGTAGCGCAGCGTGTACTCTCGACATGTTGAGCACTGCGTCACATTGCCACGAGTGCCTTTGGGCCACAGGGCAGATGTGAATCTCAAGGATGGCCAAACATTTTCCCATATCACGCTGTATGCTTGGATTGTCGATGAAACAAAGTTTTATTTGCTATAGG